GTCCAAGGGGCTGGTCTAAATGATCACTTTGCTAATATGGGAGTGAAACCCAAGGGAGTTGCAGGGACTCCAAGTAGCTCAAGGAAGAAAGAAATTATTTGTGAGTACTGTAAGAAGCCAAAACACACTAAAGACAAGTATTAGAAATTGCATCATGAGCTTCTTCCTCTTCGATTTCAAAAGAAGACTGATAATATAAAGGCAGGGAGTGCCAATATTGCTGCTGGTCCAGATAGTGACAGATACCAAACTGAAGAGTTGACTGCTAGTGAGCAGTTAACAGCTATGAAGGCAGAATATGAGAAGTTTGGGAGGATGATCAGGGTGTGGCCTCTTCTTCCAACCCTCCAGGAAATTCAACATCTTCTGCATTTGCTCATTCAGGTATACGAGCTTCTGCCAATCATGCAACTATTTCAGGTAATCATAGGATCCCTTGGATTATTGATTCTGGTGCTTCTAATCATATGACCAGCCATTCCACTTTGTTTGTTTCTTATGATTTACTTCCTAACCGTGACAAAATCACCCTAGCCTATGGCTCTCTTGCTCCTATCTCCGGCAAGGGAACCATCAAGGCTACATATTCCTTGGTACTTCCTTCTGCTCTTCATGTACCCAAGCTAAATACAAATTTGTTATCTATAAATAGCCTAACTAAGTCATTGAATTGTTGTGTAACCTTCTTTCCTTCCTATTGTGTTTTTCAGGATCTGGAGTCTTAGAAAGTGATTGGAGTGGCCACGAGGCGAATGGAATATATCTGCTGGACAGAGCCATGAACAACCTGGAAAAGCTGCTTTTGGGTCTACATCGACAGAATCCATTAGTCGAGTCATGTTATGTCATTTTCGTTTGGGTCATCTTTCTTTTTCTGCATTAAGTCATTTATTCCCAGAACTGTTTAAGGAAATTAGTMTGTCCAGTCTTCATTGTGAGTCGTATAAATTGTCAAAACATTGTAGAAGCAGTTATCCTTTGAGTAATAAAAGACCTTCTTCTCCTTTTCATAATGTGCACTCTGATGTGTGGGGGCCTTACCACTTACCTTCTATGGGTGGCTACAAATATTTTATCTTGTTCATTGATGACTTTTTTCGGTTCACTTGGATATTTTTTATGAAGTTCCCAAACTTGTGAGGCAATTCCATGAATTTGTCCTAACCCAGTTTGATACCAGAATTAAAATTTTCAGATCCGACAATGCAAAAGAATATTTTGAGAAAAACCTGACCTGCTATCTTACTGATTTGGGGGTTATACACCAAAGTTCCTATGTTAGGACCCCAGAACAGAATGGAGTTGCTGAAAGAAAAGATAAGCATATTGTTGAAGTTGCAAAAGTATTCTATTTGCCTCACATGTCCCTACAAAATTTTGGGGTGATGTTGTTCTCACTACAACCTACCTAATCAACAATATGCCATCAGGGTTTTGGGGTTTAAGTCTCCCTTCAGTCTTCTTCATCCGGGCAAGAACTTTTTCCTATTCCTCTTTGTGTTTTTGGATGCACTTGTTATGTACATATCCCAAGTGTCCAGGGACATAAATTTGAACCAAAAGCCCACAAGTGTATCTTCCTTGGTTATTCCCCCACACAAAAGGGTTACTGTTGTTTTGATCCGAAGACTGGCACTCAGTATGTCTCCATGGATGTCACCTTTAATGAGCTCTTCCTTTTATGATTCTTCTCTGGATAGGCAATGTCCAAAGGGGGAGAATTTGTCACAGTTGTTTGCTCTTCCCCTTCCTGTCCCAGTTGAGTCTTCTATTGAGACTCTTCCTCCTTCAAATGATTCAAGGGAGGATCAGTCATTTCATTCTCATTCCAATGTTCCTATCCCTCTTCCTTTACCTCATCGTCCTCATTTTAATCCCAAGTTGTACCAAAGGCAGAGAACCAGAAATGAGCAAATTGTTTCCCCTACAGCACATGAGCCTCCTACACTTCTAGTCACAGAAGAGACAGCAGGTACTGATACAGCCCCTTTGGAGTCATCCTTCCCAGACCTTGATATCCCTATTGCTATTAGGAAAGCAAAAAGAAAGTGTACTACACATTGCATTTCCAAACACCTTTCTTACTATTCCAAAATGGAGGGATGCTATGAGAACAGAAATTTATGCCCTACACAAGAATGAAACTTGGGAAGTGGTTGATTTGCCTGAAGGAAATGATCCAGTAGGCGGTAAGAGGGTTTTTACTATTAAATATCATGCTGATGGCACCATTGAAAGGTACAACAAGGCTAGGCTGGTTGCCAAAGATTATACACGGGCATATGGGATTGATTATCTGGAGACCTTTGCTCCTGTTGCCAAGATGACTTCTGTGAGAGTTCTACTATCTCTGGTTGCACACTCAGACTGACCACTTTATCAGCTGGATGTAAAGAATGCTTTTCTGAATGGAGAGTTACATGAGGAGGTCTATATGTCTCTTCCTCCAGGGATGTATGAAACAGATATGAAAGGGAAGGTCTACAAGCTGAAGAAATCTCTTTATGGACTTAAATAGTCCCCTAGAGCATGGTTTGAAAGGTTTAGGGCTGTCCCTGTTAGCTTTGGCTATGCACAGACACAGTCTAATCATATACCCTCTTTGTGAAGAGGAGAGGATCCTTGGCCGTTTACCTGATTGTGTATGTTGATGATATTGTTGTGACTGGTAATGATGTATAAGGGATTAATGATCTCAAATCCTTCCTTCATACAGAATTTGAGAACAAAGATTTGGGGGAATTGAGATACTTTCTTGGCATAGAAGTTGCTAAATCCAAGGATGGGATCCTTATCTCTCAGAGAAAGTATGTACTTGATTTACTCTCTGAAATAGGAAAGATGGGTGCTAGACCAGTTGCTACTCCTATTGATGCGAGTCATAAACTCTTTGCCTCAGATGGAATATTGTTGAAAGATAAGAGAGTCTTCCAAAGACTACTTGGAAAACTTCTCTATCTATGCATGACTCGGCCAGACATTGCATATTCTATCAGTTGCATTAGTCAATTCATGCATGCTCCCAGGGATACTCGCATGACAGCAGTAGAGCGGATTCTGTGTTATTTGAAGGGTTCCCCTGGAAAGAGAATTCTATTTGCTAAGCATGGTCATATGAAATTTGAAGCCTACACAGATGTTGATTGGGCCGGAAACATTGATGACAGAAGATCTACCTCTGGGTACTGTAGCTTGGTGGAAGGTAATATTGTCTCTTGGAGAAGCAAGAAACAATCAGTTATTGCCCAATCTTCAGCCGAAGCTGAATACAGAGCCATGGCTCATGGAGTTTCTGAACTACTGTGGCTTAGATCCTTGATGGAGGAACTGGGTATTGAGCTTGATAAGCCAATGATGTTATACTGTGATAATCAGGCTGCCATCAGCATTGCTCATAATCCAGTACAACATGACAAAACTAAACATATTGAAGTTGACAGACACTTCATTCAAGAAAGAGTAGCTTCTGGAGAGGTGTGTCTACCTTTCATCACTTCTGAAGGACAGTTAGCTGATTTCCTCACCGAGGGCATTCCCAAAACTAAACTTCAGCATGATACTGGCAAGCTTGGCATGATTGACATCAATGCTCAGCTTGAGGGGGAGTATAGAGAAGATGGGCCAAATGGCCCATAGGCTATTTATCTTTTTTATCTTTTATGTTCTTTGTTGTAATGGGCCTTAATCTGGGCTTTATTATTTCTTATGTTATGCTTTTCAATTTTTTGCCCAACTAGGGGCCTCTCTATAAATTATTAAAGTTTAACTTAATGAAATGGAATTAGGGGTGTAAGAGAAGACGTTATGTTCGAAAATCTCTCTCTCTGAACCCTAGTTGCCGCCACCTTCTTCTTCTTCTCTCTTCTTGAAACCTGATTTTTGTTACTTTCTTTTGATTTTCTACAACTTTTTAAGCAGTCCTTTCTTTTCAAAAGGCTGTTTTTCTTCTGATATTTTCCATTTCAAATATAATTCTGATTTTCTTATCAAAGAAATGAAATGTTGTTTATAAATTCCCAAAGATCAGATGATCATTCATCAAGTAGCCCTATCCTTCCCAAAGATCAGATGATCATTCAAGAAAAGGAAAGCAGCCTCTTAGATGTCAAGGAATGCATTTTGACAAGGGAAATTCATTGGTTGGGAACTATGGAGTATGGAATCCTTCCAATTTTTCTCCTTTGATGATCTTTGGAGGAATTGGTCAGCAGTGACTAATAGCTCTTCCAGGAAGGATAGGATTACTGTAGCTTGGGTTCCCTCTCCTGAAGGATGTGAAAAGCTGAACTTTGATGGAAGAAGTCAGGGTAACCCAGGCCCATCTGGTGGTGCAGGAGGAGTTTTGAGAGACAAGGAGACTCTAATAGGACTGAACTACTAGCTGCTATACAAGGTATTCAAATTTTAAACCAACTTGGTGTGGAGAATCTACTAATTGAAGGAGACTCTAAAGTCGTTGTGGGGTGGTTAACAGATCTGGATTCAATCATATGGCACTATAGGGACCTCCTAAAGAAAGCTAACTGGTTAACAAGGAACATGACTGTCAGCTTACATTTGGTGGGCAGATCGGCAAATGCAATGGCTGATTATCTTGCCAAACAAGGGGCAAATAGGGAACATCTATACTGGGCTGCTTTGTAATATTCACTCTCTAGGGAGAGGTCACACCTCGCACCTTTCTTTGGGATGCTTGTATCAGTTTCCATCTTTTGTTAATTAAATTGTCTCTCAATTATCAAAATGAAAACATGAATGATTTCTAATCAGGTTTCTTGGAGAAACATCAAATTCAATGACGAGGCTCAATGAACAACTGCAAATTCTGAAACACATCCAAAACTCAAGACTATTAGGTGGTTCAACAAAATCAGAACTGATTAAAAAGATACTGGGGGAGGGGGACTTTATCTCTTATTTTCTCTGTTTATTTTCCATTTTTGTAAGTGAAATGAGCAAATGAAATAAGAATAAACAAAAAAAAAAACAATGAAGGTTACCTGCTTCACAACTTGTTTTCTTACATGTCGATGATAGTCAGGATTTCGAAATAACTGATCTGCTAAAGCTCGAAACTGCTCAAGGTTGTCAAGGGAATATAGTTTAAAACAGATTAATATGGAGGACCATGAAACTTAGAGTGAAGAGGAAAAGGAAGGAAGAGAGAGAATTCTAATTGTCAAACCTGGCAATTTCCATCTCCTTCAATTTGCAGCTCAGCTAAACCATACGTAGTCAATCTGATTGGAAAGTGAAAATATTATGGACCAAATAGAAAATGTTCAACCATTAACAAAGGCCTCAAGTAAGGTCACACAGCAAAAGCCATGTGTGTGAATGAGAATCACTGCCAAAAAGAAAACCAACTATAATCATGCATTTTAGCTGCACTCTATAAATCTAATGAAGATTGATGCTGCACACAAACATCTAATACTCGAACTCATAAGCAGTTAAAAACTTATCCAAAGTTGAAAGTGAATTAGTGGAGATAATATCAAGCTGTCAGTGTTATCATACTTGTCAAGTTATGTATCCAAAATATTTCACCACTTACTGGACCAACCAATATCTTTGGAATAACTTCCTCATAAGTGTGAGATCCATATATACAAGTCATATTAAGGATGGAATACATTGAGGTTATAAAAGGATTAAAATTTGCTTGTTAGAATCTTATAAGTAAATTACATGCTCCTACCTTTGGTTACTTGGAAACCTAGAATTAGGTTAAAAGTATGCTCTAGGAATGTAAGTTTTATTGGGAGTTTACTTCTTTAGGTTATCAGATGTTTACCTTTTTAAGAATTCCCCTCTCCTATTATTCTCAAAACAGAAAGTTGTAGGCAGGGATTCGTTTTGCTGGAACCTTCATTGAAGAATGAAATAGAATCTTAAGAGACTCTTTTAATCTGAGACTTACTAAATTATCATAGCCGATACTAGCAAATGTGTCTTCGGTTATTGGTTTTTATATTTAAATTCATCTATTGGTTATTATGTAATTGTGGTACAGACTACAGAGTGCTTACTACTTATGAAATATAATGCATCTCATTTGGGTTCTTTAGCCATAGACAGGGTATATACTTACTGCTCAGAAATTCTTGCATGGTTCTGTTATAGAAATTTCTATATTTGGGTTAAGTCTGTGTTCCACTAGTTGTTAGGGATTACTTTGGAAGGAATTGGTTATATAACTTGTTTTATTTTTAAAATTCCATGTGAAAGTTGTTAAGAGTAAAAAGTAATCTAAATTTACAAAACCTTTTTAGTCATAGTTTGCAATACTAGTCAGAGCAGGATAGTTACCTATATCTCTTATTGGTTTCTCTTAACCTAGATTTTTTATCTTAATAGAATCTCTTTAATCTCTGTTACTGAAAAAAAAAATGAATTTAAAGAAATAGGCTTGCAATATTAGATCTATCTATCAAAGGAATTCGCACATTTACTTAATTTAGACAAAATATTTTATTTTATCCAATATATTCCATATATTTTGATTAAATCAACTTGCATACATATTATTTTGCATGTCAACCGTATCCTATACTCTTATTCTTATCCGTTGATATTTTCATACCCATGAGTTTGGCTTCAATCCAAGCACCCTCAGTCAGGGCACCGTTCACGCATTTGGAGGATGCGCCACACGTCCTCCAAATCGTGTAAACGATAGAAGCACGCGAAGATGCTTCACGCTGTTAGTTAACCAAAACGAGGCATTCTCCTCTCCCTTGAGTGTCGCAGACGAGACACTCGTTCTCTTCTCCCTCTCTCTCCCCCCATCCACCCGGCGGCGACTTAACATCCATTACCGCTGGCCGGTGGATGGCTACCATCACCTGACTGAGGGTACCTGGACTGAAGCCGAACTCGTTTCTATAACCCATCTTCACCCATCCACTTTTTAGTTTTTCACTACTCACTTGTTTCTGCAACATCTCTCCTCTCTCTACCAACTTTACAACTTTGGTAAGAGAAAAAAGAGAGAGAATAAAAAAAAAGAAATCTGTAAGCTGTTTCAGTAGATGGTTATAGAAGAAGAAGCTTTAAAGGTAGAATCAGTAGAATCTGATCTTGGGTGTGCTTCTTGCATCAAAGTTGCAGATTGCATTCCTGGAACTCATTTTTGAAGTCCTGTTTAGAGTTGTTACCCAGAAGCAAGAAGGGATTTTTTTTTTTTTTTTTTGTATGGGTCTTGCAGAAGAAGAGCATCTGGGGAGTTTGATATCACAGAAGCTTCTTTTAGACGGAGTATTTGGCATTTGGATCTTATGATTTATCTAAGCAGCACTCAGGTTTGAATTCCAGTCCTTCACTGCTGTTCAAACATGGGATTTCCTTGTCTTTGTCTTTAGTGGTTTTTCTTCCAACATCAGAAAATAGAGCAAGAAGAGGAGTTTCAAAAGTCAGGACTGATATTCCTTCTGAACATAATTTCTGCTATGTTTTGTTTTTTAGTTATCTTGTTTTATTTCTTTGTAAAGAGTCGTTCAATATAGAAAACTTTCTCATCTGGGCCTGGAACTGGATGTCAGAAGTGGTAGATTCTTATTCGGGTTGTAATGTTGGTCGGAGTTTCAGATAACTTTTGCAGCTTTCAGGTTTTGTTTAAATAATTGGTTGGATTTATTGGCAAAAAATTCCTGGAGTTTGATCACAGGTTTCTCATCTGGGTTTTGAAGATGGACACCCGGAAAGCAGGTTTTCTTCTCCAAGCTGCAGTGTTGTTGATGGCCATTGCAGATTCATGGTTGCAGGTGTCTGGTCTGGGCTCCATGTCCTCAACCGCTGTGTCCTATGGCAAGAATGGTCCTGTTTTCTGTGGTTTGAAGTCAGATGGGTCTCATCTTGAGACCTGCTATGGAGCAGACTCAGCTGTAATCTACGGAACTCCTTCTCGGTTTCCAATCCTAGGCCTAACCACGGTGATGGATTTGTGTGTGGGCTTCTAATGGAGTCCAACCAGCCTTACTGTTGGGGGAGTAGCATTTACATCAAAACGGGTGTCCCACAACCGATGATTGAGGGAGCTGCTTATTCACTGCCGCTGGTGATGGTTGTTTATTGCCAGCGGTAATGGTTGTTAAGTCACCGCCAGGTGGATGGGGGGAGAGAGAGGGAGAAGAGAACGAGTGTCTCGTCTGCGACACTCAAGGGAGAGGAGAGGAGAATAGAACGATGTCTCGTTTTGGTTAACTAACAGCGTGAAGCATCTTCACATGCTTCAACCGTTTACACGATTTAGAGGAATGCGCGAACAGTGCCCTGACTGAGGGTGCCTGGACTGAAGCCAAACTCCATACCCATATGTAGTTTGCTTTGTACTATCTTAGTTTTTCAATATCAACTACCATGTATATATTAACACTTTTGACATTCGACTACAAGATTTCATTCTGAATGATGCTTCCATTAAATGGAGAAAATCTCACCATTCTAAAACTTCCTGCCAAGTTTCATATGAAATTTCTAAATTCTCTAATTTTTTTCTAGATTTCTCATTGCTTTCTTGATTTCTTCAGTCATCTTTGTTATTAGGTGTGTGTGGTAAACTAATCTTTATTTAGAACTATATTCTTTGAGCCATAGAAGATCAACATATTTCTCCTATGTCAAATATGCTCAAGAAGCTTTACACAAGATCATGCTTATGAGGTTTTGAGTGGGCTGATTTATGTTGGGCCAATTTATGTTTAGTTTGTTTTCTTTTAAATTAAGAAGTTGTTGGGCCTTGGGCCCATTAGTCTTTTATTTTTAAAAGAATTGTAAGTACTTAATTGAGTTGCCGCCCTACTAGGGGCATCTTTGTAATATCCCATATTTAAGTTAATTATAAACAGAATGAGGAGCT